TTGCACATGCCCTCGCGATTTAAACAGCGCGATAAGGTCCTTGAAAAAGAAAATATTTCGAAAAAAGTAAATCTCAAAAAATTTCATATCTTTTAGGGTGGACATATAACCTTAAGAAATCCTCTTCTTTCGGTATGTTCAAAATGCACTGGTACAAACCACTATGAAAGAAATGTAGCATGTGCCAAAAAAAGAAAAAAACTCAAGTGCCTGTTACCATTTTTAAGCGAATTAAATTCCTCAAAATCATTGGCGACACGCACTGAGCGGGCTCGTGCGATCATGCATTTTTGGAGTGTTTCGTGTTGTAATAAGATCAGTCGAAATTCCGCTAGCTAGAAACTTCTTGTACATATTGGTCTTCGAATTTCGGAAGTTAATCATCCACGCTATACCTAGACACGGAACATTCCCATGAAATCCCAGACTCCCAGCTTTCTCAGTTCCCGAGTTACCCAAATTCCAGCCAGAAAATTTCAGGGGGACGTACGTGGCAACCACGCATAACGGAGGGGCTGAATTTGATAAATACAAGTTAAAGAAGAGTTGGGAACATTTCCTGAAAGTTTCAGCCTCCCAGATTCTCTGGTTCAGGAGTTATCCATTTTCCCGCCAAAAATTTCCACGGGGCCTTACGTGCCAACTATGCATAACGGGAGCTGAATTTGGCAAATTTAAGTTGTAGACAAGCCGGGAACATATCCTGAAAGTTTCAGCCTCCCAGCTTTGGTTCCCGAGCTAGCGATTTTCGCGCCAGGAACCCTCACGGGGCCGCACGCAGGAAACGCGCACACGTGGGGCGGCACTTGGCCGAGGAACCCACTCGCAAAATTTTGGCGCCAGAGCTTGCTTGGGTGCCGAGTTGAAACACCCGAACGAACGCACACATACACACACACACACACATATACGCACACACACACACGCCGGGGTTGTCACAATATGTGTTTTGCATATATGCAAAAACGCATAAAAAGTAGAATTAGAAAATCACAAGCCCAAAATACCAAGATAAGTCGGGCCAAAAAGAATAATGAAAAACAGGGCTGGCGAAGAAGTTTAAATGTTGCCAGACTCCAGAAACAGAGGGTTTTGCCATACCTGTACGTAGCGATATCGGCGCTCAGGACTGAGTATTACGAAAGCTAAAGTAGATCAGTAAGGAGCAACTGATGGCGCGCTCCTTGCTGATCTACTTTAGCGTAAGTCCAGGATTCCATTGCGCCCGTAGAAAAAAACAATCAATTCTTCTAAGCTTATTGTAGCATCCAGGTTGATTTTTAGGGTGTCAAAGTAAGGAAGGTATATAAGCAGAGGAAAAATAGTAGAAAAAACAATTGAGTTAAGACGTTTTGGTCCATTAAGTCATCCAATTTACACATGCCAGGGAGTCAATCCCGCCATCAGTTTGCTTGAAAGCAATCGTCGAAAGAGGGAGCCATCGAAAGCCTTGCCAACTGAGAGTTTTGCTACCATTTGAGCCACTTCCGGAGTGCTCTCTCTGTCACAAAGAAAGAATATGGGGGTGTTTTGACTTTGTTAAAAACTACAAAACCTCAAAAGTACTCACATTTGCAGAAAATATCACTGGGATTTTTTGCTCCGAGGCATCAGCACTTGAGATCTCTGTGGTATCCGTGTTTCCATTAAGCCGATCATCCTCACTTGAAGAGTCATCATCGCAGCTGGCACTTACGCTTGCCTCATTTCTTTCAGGATCCTCTTTCTTGTTTTCTGGTTCCAGCGCTGACCTTAATTATTAGTTTT